AGTAATGACATCCAGTTTCCCAGCTTAGATGACTGTAAATAACAAAGACAAGAGAAGAGGGAGAAACAGTTTCTGTGGTAAAAGATCATGACTTTTGTTGGGCTATAGCAATATGACAAAGTCAAAGAAACTAAAAATAACCTGAACCAAATAATCTCCAAATTCCATTTGAATTTTTCCTTTAAAAATAATAAAGACCAACCAAAGGCTTCATCATCTTTTACCTTATATTATTCTACTTCTTATCTTTAGTGATTCATATTTATTTGTACCAGTGAGGAAAAGCAGGATAACTGGCATTTACTGTCCACTTTTTGTAAGCCATACCAAATTTCTTTCCAGAACTCAAAATGTACACTTATTCAGATATTTTACATTCATAAGAAATCTTACATATTTAAAACCGCCAAATTACACTTTTGTCTACATAAAATAATGCGATCTTGTATAAACCTGTTTCAAAAATCTGAATAAGAAAACACAGTTTAAAATATCTTACTTTTGGGTCCAGTGTGATGGCTCAACTGGATAATCCTGACTGCCAGCACCAGCAATCCACAAGGGTGCCACTTGATGTCCTAGCTATTTCACTTCCATCCAGCTTCCTGCTTGTGGCATGGGAAAGCAGTGGAGAATGGCTCCAAAGCCTTGGGACCCTGCACTCACGTGGGAGACCCAGAGGAAGCCACTGGCTCTTGACTTTGGATCTGTTCAGCTTTGCCTGTTATGGCAACTTGGGAGTGAACCAGTAGATGGAACATCTATCTTTCTGTTACACCTCCCTTTCCAATAAAAATGAATAAATCCTTAAAATAAAATCCCACTTTCATAGAAATGACACCTAACATGCAACAACTCTTTCTAATGTATTCATAATTTATAACTTAAAACTTAAAAAGTATTGCAATGAGTAAAGACAAAAAAATCCTTTTTTGACCTTATCACCCCTACCAACTACCTCCTGTCTATTATCCCTCCTTTTGCAGAAGTCCTTCAGTTGTTTGGTTTCCTCTTTCCAGTTTTTCCTCTTATTTGCTCAACTCTTTTAATCCAGCATTTTGGCTTGGTTGCTACAGCGTAACTGCCTTACCAACTGCCAAATACAAAGGTCAACTGTCATTCTTCATTACTCTTGACCCACCAGCAATGTGACAACAGATGTTTCACTTTATCCTAAGAATACTTTGTTCATTCGTTTTCCAGAACACCGCATTCTCTTGGTTTTCTTCCTTCTCTTTCTTGTTTTCTTAATCTTGTAATGCCTGAGTGCCACAAGGGTCAGACCTTGGGTTCCTCCATAATTACACCTACTACTTAGGTAGCCCCATTTGTCTGTCAAGAACTCCTACTGATGTTACTTTCAAAATGCCTATCTTGAGTTTGATTACTTATGATTCTGTGTACTACTTACTCTGGTCTGAGCAGTCATCATCTTTCACCTGCATATTTATAATATCATCATTATCTAGTCTCCCTTTTTCAATCCCCTTCTCTCAATAATCCATTCTCAACATAGCAGCCACACTTGTACTTTAAAAATGTTAAATTAGATGGTGTCATTTCTCTGCTACAACCCTGCTGAAAACTGTTTCCAATTTTATTCAGGGTAAGAGTCAAAGTCCTTACAATGTCCTACATTTGTCTTACTTATGTGTTTAAAATCTCTTCTCCCCCTCCGACACTTGTTTCTCCTCCTTTCAGACCTCACCTACTATCAATCTCCTTCCTCGGTCACTATTGGTTACTTGCTCCCATACATAGAGCCTCCCTGCTATTTCTTATATACATCCAGAACACTGCTACGTCAGGAGCTTTGCATCAACTCTTCCTCTCTGGATCATCCTCTTTCCCTGTCTGCATGACTGTGCTTTTAAGCCTTTGCTCAAAATGTCAGTGAGGACTACCTGGACCCTCTATTAGATACTACAAGTAACTCCTTTATCTCTCATTAATGCCTTCTTTCTATAGCTCTTGTTACCATTTAAAACAGTATGATTCACATACTGCATTTGTCTTGCTGTCAAACTAGAATGCAAGGCCCATGATAAGAGATTTTGTTTTCAGCATTGCCATTTTCCTACCACAGGGAAATCACATGACACATAGTTGGTTTCTGGCAAACAGTCCTGAAAGGCTGACTGAATAAATGAACATACAAAGAATACAAGAAAAGGAAAAACAAAATGCAATGGGGAAGAAAAGTAAAGCAAGCGATTGCCCTAAGTAGTGTAACAATCTATATGGAGTACCATTGTAAGCTGGGTTGGCTGGGCTTCAAAGCCCATATACATCATTCCATTCTATTGCCAGGTAGGAGAAAAGTACCTTAAGAATTAAAATAAGATCATTAAGCAACAGTAAATAAAAGAAGTAACAGAGGGAAGGAGACTGTGTTTCCCAAAGTATAATTAGTTCAGCTAGACTACTTAGAATTCAACTATGAATGGTATATTTTTCAAAATTACCGAAGTGTACATAGTTCTTTGTCTTCAGAACTTTAAGATAATTTTCAGAGGATTTAATTGGCAACTTCTGCCTTCCTCTTACAGTAACAGAGATTTGATTTAATCACCTGCTTAAAACAAAAACTCTCCCAGCCTTCCACCCCTACAAACAACAAAGATGACGGTTTGCAGACACTGGACATCGGGCAGGAGAAAGTGATCCCTAGGAAGAAAGGAGGCAAGATTGGTGAATCTCCATCAACTCCCATGAGAGTGCACAAAGGGTCCGGCCCCTGTAACTCATGTGGTATGCCAGGATGAAATTCCTGGCTCCTCGTTTTGGCCTGGCTCAATTCTAGCCATTGTGGCAACTTGGGAAATGAACCAGCGGATGGAAGATTTCTCTGTGTGTCTTTCTTCCTCTCTGAAACTCTTTGAAATAAGCCTTAAAACAAAAACACAGCAAGCAAGGCTCTGTGGTACACCAACCAAATGCTCAGTGTGACAGGTAAATGAGAAATTTTTTTAAATCAGGAAGAAAACCACACAAAAGCACATCATGACGAAAATGTTGAAACTAGTAATAAATACAATTAAAAGCAGCCGGGGGGGGGGGGGGAAAGGCATGTTACACGCACAGGAATAAAGACCAAGATAACAGATTTCCTGCCAAAACAGTAGAAATGAAAAGATAATGATGTAACATTTTTATAGTAATGAGAAAATAAAAGTCAAGTGTAGAATTCCTTACACAGTACAAGTATCTTTAAAAAATAAGATTATTCAGGGTTGGCATGATGGTATAGCATGCTAACCCTCAGCTGTGATGCAGGTATCCAAGACAGACGCCCAGTTGCCCAGTTTCTTACCCGGCTCTCTGGTAATGGTCTAGCAAAGCAGCAGAGGGTGGCCCAAAGCCTTGGGCTCCTGCACCCATGTTAGAGATCCAGAAGAAGCTCATGGCTCCCAGCTTCAGACCTGCGTAGCTGTGGTCACTATGGCTCTACGGGGAGTGAACCAGCAGATGGATCACCTCTGTCTCTCCCCACCCCCATCTCTCTCTATCAGTAACTCTCTGAAGCAAAATAAACAAATATTTCTTTTAAAAGTCTATTATAGGTAATATAAAAGTTGAAAGACTATATTAGTAATAGCTCTGCACTACAAAAATAAGAAAATTCTTCAGGATAGAGGAAAATACACTAGATAAAAATATGTATTTACACAAAAGAATGAAGATGAAATTAAATGTGATACACATATAAGATTTTAAAAATACAGTGAAATCTTTTAAAAAAGACATTGACCTTTTAAATAAAAGCAACAATATGTTTGTTCATCATATAAAACAGGTATGAGTAGAATCTGACAACGTAAAGGCCAGAGGGGCAAAGAGAAGTACATCACTGCTAGATTCGTATCTATAAAGTGATAAATACTACTTGAAGGGAGACTGTAAATTATACACTTGTACATGAATATTTATAGCAACTTATGAACAGTAGCCAAAAAATGAAGCCAACCCAAATGTCTGTCACAAGATGTATGGATAAGTACAAACTGGGGGTATATGTGGAGGCTTTAAAAAGTTCTTAGAAAATGTATGTTATGAAAAAACATACATTTTTTTTTCCAACTTTTCAAAATAAATACCTAGTTTCACCTCTTTACAGATTTTTTGAGTACACCTAATAAAAACAAATTACTCATTTATACACATTAACAAAACAGGTGAATTACAAAATAGTTATACTGAGGGGTAGAAGTCAGGCCAATAAAAGCCTGAAGGCTATGCTTTCACAAAGCTCTGGAAAAATACAAATTAAGCTATGGTGATAAAAACAGGTGAGGTACCCTGGAGGTAGGATGGGACCACAGATTCAAAGAAGCTTTTGGAAGTGATGGATATCTTGATCACAGCATTATCTTCACAGTTATGTACATATGTCAAAATTTACTGAACCGTACAAACTAAATGGATTGTATGTGAATTACTCCTTCACAAAGTTGTTTGAGGGTCTGAATAGATAGAACAGATGTCAATAGACCAAATACTTTTCTTATTATCTGTTTAACGGTCAGAATGGATCAGAGATGACGTAATCAAATACTTTCTTATCCAGTCTCAGAAAGGGCCTGACTTGACCAAGACCTTACAGGTATAGTCAGGGACTGTTTTATTTGATTATCACTGTACCCTAACACCAAGCACAGGGCCTGGGGCAAGCAGAGGCTCAATAAATATGTGCCAATTTTTCCACAGGAAAGACAAAATGAAACATAAAAAGAAAACCTCCTTAAAATATGACTCAAAGCTTCTTCCTTTCCTTGATTTCTAATCTCTCTAATACAGATTATAGAATTAAGAATTTTTAACATCATAAGAAAATAGAATTGTATTCCATGATTTAATTTGCTGGATTTTAATTATATTATATTTTGAAAATTCTAACTCCTATTATCAATTCTTAAATAGCAGAAAATTCAAAAGAAGAATCCTATTCATGCAGATTAGTGACCTTTTTGAATTAAAAGAAAATTAAAGAAAAAGCTTACCAAAAATTTCTCCATTTTTGGCATATTCAGTCACAAGGTACAACATACTTTTGGTCTCCATTACCTATAGATAAATTAATTCCAAATTAGTCTGGTTGAAAATGGTTGCAACTGATCACATCATTCTATAAAGTATGTAAATAAAATAATTCAAGAGTTATGAACAATTCAGAAACTGGATAAACTTACAAGCCTGACAAAATGTTTGGATTAATATTTTTGTGGAAAATCTAGACCCTTGCTCTGTTACATGGGTCCAAGGAATAGCAGGAGCAGCACTGCCCAGGTGCCTGCCAGAAACAGAACTGCTGGTCTCATTCCCACACCTACTGAACTAAAAATCACATTTTAACAAAATCACCAGGTGATTTTTTTTTTTTATGGAAAGTTCACCAAGTATTAATACAGCTAACAGGTGTTCTAAAGATCAACTTTTCCAAATCTCCTTACCACCTTTCCTAGTCTTGTGTTATCATGGTAGACCCTGACTAGGAAAAGAAAAATAAAAATGAAAGAACTGAGTTTCTCTGGGCTGTGGCTTACCTAATCAAGTAGTGTGATATTCCTCCTACTGCACTTCACTATTGCTACAAAGTGCTGTAATTTAGAAACACTGTTAAAAAGCTTCTGCTCATAGCTCTACTGTCACACTTATTTTGTTTTTCTAGGTTCAGAAAGGAATATCATTGCCACGAAATGTTCACACTATGCTGACTAGACATCTATTCTATTCAGAAAAGAAAACATTTTGGGGCCGGCATGCTCGCTCAATGGGCTAGTCCTCTACCTTAACATAAGTACCTGCATCTCACTTGGGCGCTAGCTAGTGTCCTCGTTGCCCCACTTCAAACCCAGCTCCCTGCTTGTGGCCTGAGAAAGCAGTAGAGGATGGCCCAAGTCCTTGAGCTCCTCTAACCCAATGGGAGACTCAGAAATTGTTTCTGATTCCTGGCTTAGGATTTGCTCAGCTCTAGCCACTGAGCCCATTCAAGGAGTGAACCAGTGGACAGAAGAGCTTTCTCTCTCTCTCTACTTCTCTTTATAAATATGCTTTTAAAATGAAAAAAATATATTAGGTTCAAGAATTTTTTAAAAATATTTATTTAGTTTTATTGGAAAGTCAGATATACAGAGAGGAGGAGAGACAGATAAGATGATCTTCCATCTGCTGATTCATTCCTCAAGCAGCCACAATGGCCAGAGATGAGCCAATCTGAAGCCAGAAGCCCGGAGTCTCTTCTGGGTCTCTCATGCAGGGGCAGGGTCCCAAGGCTTTGGGCCATCCTCGACTGCTTTCCCAGGCCATAAGCTGCGAGCTGGATGGGAAGTGGGGCTGCCAGGATTAGAACCAGCACCCATATGGGATCCTGGTGCATGCAAGGTGAGGACTTTAACCGCTAGGGCCCAGGTTCAAGAATTTTTAAACGACTTGTTTTTTAATTGTCATCTACTAAAACACTGAAATGTAATTCTATTTTAAAATGTAGGTCCAAGTGGATGGTGTTTAGTAAAGTGGTTAAGATGTCAGTTGGAGTGCTTGCATCAACCACCAGTTCAAGTTCTAAATCCACTTGGGAGTGGATTTAGCTTCCTAATAATGTGCACCCTGGAAGGCAGCAGGAGATGGATCTAGCACCCAGGCTAATTCTTTGGATCCTGCATTCAGTTTGGCCCAAACTCAATTGTCACAGGCATCGGAAAATGAAACAGCAATTGGAAGATTCTTCTCTCAGATGAAGTAAAACTAAGTAAGTAAGTAAGTAAGTAAGTAAATAAATAAATAAATAAATAAATAAATAAATAAATGTAGGTTTAGGACTACTCTTCATCAGGTCCAAAACTAACAATTACCTATAATTTGGGTATAAAAAACCAAATAGTTATTCAATCTTAACCACTTATTTAGTTCAAATAAAATTGCCATGTGAGTCATGGTAGTTTGAACCTCAATTTAACTTATGGTTCATCACAAACTCCTCAGAACATGATAATTTCTTTAAAAGCATCTTCCTTCAAAATATTATTAATAATAATAAGCAGCTTAAAGGAAACATGCTCTGATAAAATCTCATGAGCCTGGCATGGTAGCTCTGTAGTTTTAGAGTTTTTGAAATGTTTTACACACAATTTGGGGGGAAGAAAAATAAAAAGCAATGTTTTGAGTGGTATGTTAGTCAGTTTTAGAAATCATACCATAAATCAGTGGTCTTCATATTTTCCAAGGTTTGTTTGTTTATTTGAAAAGCATCGTTATGGAGAAAGTGGAAGTGGGAGGGAAGAGGGAAGAGAAAGACTATCTTTCATCTGCTGTTTTACTCCCCACTGACTGCAATGGCCAGGGCTGGGCCACGCTGAAGCTAGGCGCTTGGGACTCCATTGAGGTATGCCACATGGTTGCAGGGACCCAAATACTTGGGTCTTCTTCTGTTGCTTTCACAGGAGCATCAGCAGGCAGCTTGACTTGAACCTCCACTTACACGGGACGTCAGTGTCACAGGTGCCTTAACCGGCTACGCCACAATGTCACTCTGGTCTTCACATTTTTTTTTAGCAAAAGTTGCTAACTCAAATATATATATATATTTGTGTATGTATGCACACACACACATATACGCATGTGCATATGTATTTGTGTATGTATACATATGTATATACCTATATAGAGACACAAATTACACATATGTCCCACTGTATACATTTATTAGCACATTATCAAGTACCAAGAAAAATATACATACACATAATTAGAAGTATTAATATTTTCTTCCTATATTCCCGAAGACGCTTACGCTTATGCTAACCCATTTAGGTGCACACAGTGGTATGATAGGGAAGACAAAGGCCCTGATTTGTAAGTTTTTTTCTGTGGAGTAAATATTATTCCCCTTGCTGGCTTTAACTTACTAATGTGATGTTAATCAGTTCCCAAAACTTCTGAAAATTTAACAACCAGCCCCACAAGCCTTTACAAACTGAGTTCAGCAAGCCATGGAGCATACAACCTTTTTTGGAGAAAAAAGTCACGGAGTAGCATACTGGATATTTCAGCTTAAAAGCAGCTTCCATTAAAAATATATATAATGAATAGAAAATTTAAAATATTTCATAATTAAACAAACTACTATTGCGAGAGTGTGAAAATGTCACTCCTAAAAATATAGTTTACTCAACAAAAGTACGGTTTATGTTACAAAAATCATTTTAATTAAGTTATGTTAGGAAAATGTCCATTCATCCATAAAATCAAGCTATGGTGGTAGATGCTACCAATTATGCCACTAAATAAGACAGTGTTCATCTTTTTCTTTCATGAAACAGTACAATTTTTAAGTAAGCAAATTTGTTATACTCTCAGGATTAATTCAGGTATCATAAATACATGATTGCAAACAAACTAAATAACTAGCAGTCTGAGAGCCAACTTGAAGTTAAGCTATGAATTGGTTTCCAATTTCTGAATTTTTAAATTTAAAGATACTACAGAAAAATGGAAATACTCAGTTGAACACAAGCAAATATTTATGTTTTTAAGATAAGAAAATTAGCAGAAGAGGAAAAACCATGATACAGAACATAATGAAATAAAACTGCACAAAGCAGGAAAAGGAGGAAGATTGAGACATACCTGGTAAAGCTTGATTATGTGAGGGTGGTCTAACAATTTCATTATTTGTACTTCTCGGTAGATTTTTTCAAGGTTCACTGCATCCAGCTGGGATTTATCTATTATTTTTATTGCCACCTGCATCCCAGAACAGAAATAAATACAATTAATATACCACTGTTAAATCCTTTCTAGTTAAGAATCTGTTAAATAACAGACACCTAAGATTTTTTTTTCGCCCGCAGATTCCTGTGACAACAGTTAGTTTAAATTCAATGCATTTTCATTTATTCGACAAATATTTGTTACATGCCTACCATCTGGAAGGTGCTACAGATTTTGTTTGGCAGTATCCTTACTCTGTTACGAAGAATAACTACAAAATCACTTTAATAAAGTATTTTTCTCTTTGAGTATAACTGCAATGCCTTTTAACTCCATGTATAAAGATAGCTTTAGCAGTTTCAACTTGGTAGTCAGAAATCAACAATTGCATGCTTTTTTAAAAAAGACTTATTATTTATTTTTTTTTTATTACAAAATCAGATATACAAAGAGGAGGGGAGACAGAGAGGAAGATCTTCCATTCGATGATTCACTCCCCAAGTGAGCGCAACTGGTGCTGCGCCGATCCGCAGCCGGGAACCAGGAGCCTATTCCTGGTCTCCCACGCAGGTGCAGGGTCCTCCAAAGCTTTGGGCCGTCCTCAACTGCTTTCCCAGGCCACAAGCAGGGAGCTGGATGGGAAGTATAGCTGCCGGGATTAGAACCAGCGCCCATAAGGGATCCCGGCGTGTTCAAGGCAAGGACTTTTAGCTGCTAGGCCACGCCGCTGGGCCCGCATGCTTTTTATTTCATGCAAATAAGAAGTTAATTTTTAAAAATCAGTAGATATTTGGCTAACATAAAAGCCATTCTAAAGTAATTACAATTCTCACGCAATTTCTAGAACCAACAAAATTTAATTCTTGCAGGTTTTGAACAAACTTTAAACTACTTCACATGCTATCAAAAATTATTCTAAGCATAATGTCATCACATGTTGTTGATTTAGGATAGCTTTAACCTCACTGTTTTTGTCCTATAAATACTCCCAAAAGGTATCCAGGAAAAAAAAGGAAGCAGTTTATGATTTAACTTAATCTCTATTGCCCTCTATTCACACCATCAGCTTTTTCCTTTCCTTTTCCTAAGGCTGGTCTGTCCTTCACTGTCACTTTTTAAGCTCTACTGTGGTTACTTCTTCCCTTTCTCTTTTCCTAATGTACTGTCCAACCAGCTTGTTTCCTGATTTAATTGAAACCCACAGAGCAATCCAAGCTTCCCAGAGGAAATCAAACTACTAAACATAATATGCAGAATTAAATTTATTGCCTAAGAAAGGGGTGGTTTCTTCTCCGGGCTGTGAAGCACACAGGCCTCTGTAATAGCTATTTTGATTATATTTGGGAGGATTTTGTTTACCACTATAATAAAAATATTCTAGAAATTAAAAGGCTTTGGGCCTGGCATGATAGTCCAATTGGCTAATCCTCCACCTGTAAGCACTGGAATCCCATACAGGTGCCACTTCACGTTTCAGCTGCTCCACTTCCCATCCAGCTCCTTGCTTTTGGCCTAGAAAAGCAGTACAGAATGGCTCAAAGCCTTGGGTCCCTGCAACTACATGGCTCTTGGGCTTTGCACTGGCTCATCTCTGCTCTAGCAGCCACTTGAAGAGTGAATCAGTGAATGCAAGATCTTTCTGTTTTTTTTTTTTTTCTGTATATCTGCCTTTCCAATAAAAATAATCTTAAAAAAAAAAAAACTAAAAGATTTTACGCTTCAACAGCTAGAAAAATCGACTTGATTATTGTTGCACTTGGTATTACAGATACTGCTTGGTCACCTCAAACTTAAACCCATTTGAAAAACCCTATCTCCTCCCCCCAAATAAAAGGACAGTTTGGAATTCAGGATAATCAATTACTTTTGGCAACTTTTGGTAAAAACTGCCAGACAAAGAGACACAGGCATACTTGAATTTCCTCAATATTGCTTAGGGAGACAACCACAGTTTCACAGACATGCACATTCTGGAAAATATGTCTTGCCCAACAATTTCTGGAATGAGTCTAGAGATCAACACATGCCCCAACCCCCAAGAGTTTCTATAATAAGATGGGTCAGAGCTATCTCATAAATTCAAGGGTTGGAGAGGGAGCTGTGACTTTTCAAATCTGTGCATGACTACTATCATTAGAAAAATTTTGTACTGGATATGTCTTGAATACTATATCTAATGTTAAAGAAAAAGTGTAGATCCAAGGCATCAATTAAACCAAGCTATTACCCCGGAGATATTATCTCTTTTTGGAATCTTGGTTTCAAGAAGAGAAAGTAGAAAATATAAAGTTATCTAATTAAGTATTACTAAAAATTATAAGTTATAAGTTTCTAAACCAAAAACAATTCAAGTGACAAATTTCTCTTCATTCTTGTTTATACAACCATAAATACATGCATTTCTGTCTTTGCATTGTTACATCTTCTTTTTAAGTCTGCAACAAGACAATCATGCTTATCTAAAGAAAAAGTAGAGCACATGTTAGCATGTTCCTTTTAAACTTCTATTTATTTGAGAAACAGTTACAATAGAGGGAGAGGTCTTCTATTCTCTGGTTCACTCCCTAAACGCTGAAATGGCTGGGACTGCAATGCAGGGAGTTTCAACCAGGTATCCCACAGGGATGGCAGGGGCCCAAGCATTTGTACTTTTCTCTAATGCCCTCCTAGGCTGTTAGCAGGGGGCTGGATTGGAAACGGAGGAGCTGGGACACAAACCAGAATTCATATGGGATGCTGGTGTTCAATAGATGTCACATAGAATAAAGAGGCAGTAAAGTTCAAAGGAACTAATCCTAGGCCTTCGATCTTCTCATTCCATTTTCTCACCATTTCAGAGTCTAACAATCACAGACTTACTGAGCCACTGGTATTATAGCTGGTACACAGAAATGAAAGAGATATAATTCCTACCTTGAGCAACAAGACAAACAAATGTTTTCAACAAAAAATTAGGATTCCCTTAGGGTGTGCTTTTAAAAGTTCCAAAATTACAGAAAGTATTGTGTTCAAAGAGTTTATCTTAAAGATAAACTAAATTTCTCAGAACTTAGTCTTTGCAGGTCTTTTCCTAGTTAGTTTTCACCACATTATCAAGGGCAAAATGTGCATGGTTACAAGAAACTCAAGAAGGCCACACACAATTGTATAAACTGAACGATCCTTTTTTTTGTTGTTCAAATTATCCGAAACTTTAATTATAAATAAATTTAAAATAAATTCACCAATGGACAAATATGGCAATAGAAAAATTAATACTCCTCTCTGGGAACAAAAGGCAGGCACCCTGTGTAACTCTGGAGGACCAGTTAGAGTGACCACTGTCACACTCACTCCCATTTGAAGTAGCATTACTAAATATTAACCTCAGAAATAATCAGGAAAATGTGAATTTAAAACAAAATCCCAGTTTCCCTTAAAATGTTGACAAAGATTTAAAAATAATTACCTTGTAAACTAGACTTCAATAAGACACCATTTTTATAATGTTACTGGTAGCAATATAAAATATTGCTTTCTTAAGTGCTAAATTACAGAAATCATTGCATATTTTATTAAAATTTTATTAAAAATTTTCTAAAAATTTTTCTAAAAATCAAAAACATAATTCTGAAAAAAGTTATCAGTGGATGCAAAGATTAAAGATTGTTTTCCTACTTTCTAGTGTTGTGCACAACTTTTCTTCAGTTAGCATGTATTACTTTTCTAATTACAAAAATGAAAAGCACTAATTCATTATACATGTTAACCTTTCTATCTGAGAAATATTAACCATTTTTATATTTTTGTTTCCTAAGTTTTGCAAAATACACCTCTATTTCATAAGAACTGAATATCAATTAAAGCTAAATGCACAGAAATATTCCCAATAACGTTAATGAACAGTAATAAAAACCATTGTCACACTATGTAAAATAAAAATGTGGGAGGACAAAAAGAGTAAGAAATGAAAACTGTGGGGGCTGGCTATGCGGCATAGCAGGCTACGCTGCTGACTACTACACCAGCATCCATACTGGAGCCAGTTGGTGTCCCAGTTGTACCACTTTTGCTCTCAGCTCCTGCTAAGGCAATGGAGGATGGTCCAAGTACAACAGTCTTTGCCCTTCACATGGGAGACACAGAGGGAGTTCCTGGCTCTTGGCTCAACCTTAAACAGCCCTGGCTGTTGTGACCATTTGGGGAATCAACTAGTAGATGGCACATTTCTCTACTTCTCTGTAATTCTGCCTTTCATATTAATAAGCAAATCTTAAAAACAAAACAAAAGGGACATGAAAACTACGTTCAACTGATGAATAAAGAATTTTTCATTTTCAATTATTTAAAAAATATTCAATTTATTTAATTTTTAAACTGTTATTTTAAAGGTAGAGAAGGCACAAAGAGAAGCAGAGAGAGAGAGAGTCTATCTGTTGGTTCACTCCCTAAATGGCCACAACCGCCAGAGCTGAGTCGATCCCAAGCCAGAAGTCAGGACCTTCTTCTGGGTCTCCCATGCACGTACAAGAGAACAAGAACTTGAGCCATCCTCTGCTGCTTTCCCAGGCCATAACTAGGAGTTGGATCAGGAGTGGAACAGCTGGAATACAAACGAGCCCATACAGGATGCTGATGCTACAGGCAGAGGCTTAGCCTACTATGCCACAGCACCAGCGCCATCATTGTTAATTTTTGTTTGTCAAAATACAATGGCAAAAGCTCAGCGATTTCCCCTTCCTCCCCTCACTGTTTCCCCCTATATTATTACAATAATAGAGTTCCTTTACCAACAGTAGCAAGTCCATCATTCTGGTATTTAAGTGTGCCATGATTTGTAGGTATAGACAATGGTATAGAGTCGAGCATCCTATTGTCAAGTTTCATTGTGAGTCCAACTTTTACTTAGCAGAGATGTATACTGAATGTATCTTCACTTGTTGGTATGCCAGTCTTACACAATTCCTCTACATGAGTATATGCACATACATACTTACTCATACATATATACACATACATACATGCCTATATTGATCTTGTATTTTGCATGAAGT